GAGAGACGGTCCTGCCCTTCCCGTCCCGTCGGAGTGGAGCGATGGGAAGCGCCAGAGAATGGCGGAGCAGTGCACCGCTCGCGAGTAAATCACTTCCGCCGCCCCGCCCCGCCCCGCCACTGGTAAGAAATATGAGTTTCGGACGCGGCCGATTCAACCCAACAAGGAGGTGCGCAGTGCGGGCTCATTTGTCATACTTCGAGTTGCGCTGCGTGCAGCCCGGCTGCGCGGCGCGGTAGAAGCGGGAGGTGGACTACTCAGACGCATCCTCCACCTCGTCGACGATGTCAGTGCGCAGTGCTGCGGAAATAAAATTTTGGTTTATACACTGTAAATGTATTTGTTACGGTGTATCATGCCATACCGAAATGAAAGTACAACAAATTATTTTCTTCAAAAATTAGCCCACAGGGCTAAGAAATAGACAGTCCCCTCGACTAGGCCACAAAGCTCCGCCCTCAGTTTTTCGTACAGCTGAAGTAGCTTCAGCAGTCCACGTCATCCGCTTTGAGCATAGAAGGTTAGGTACATAGGTAATATAGGTGTACCCTTCTGCCACCCGGGGGCTGACGGGCCAGGCAGCCTCCAGCGCACTGGCTTGCTAAAACTCAGAACGCCGCCACAACCGAGCGCCCTGGTGCCTCCCGCGCGCTCTGTTTGTCGTCGTGGTGATGGACTGCGACGGACTCGACGACTTCGACTCGACGGCGCGGAGTTTCACGAGCATCCCATCAGCGCCATTGTGTATGCCTCCAATCATCGCCGCGTCGTCTGATTTGCAACGCCGGAGCCTGGCGGACGCGAGAGACGGTCCTGCCCTTCCCGTCCCGTCGGAGTGGAGCGATGGGAAGCGCCAGAGAATGGCGGAGCAGTGCACCGCTCGCGAGTAAATCACTTACGCCGCCCGGCCCCGCCCCACCACGCCGCGCGCCCCGCCCCACCACGCCGCGCCACGCCGCGCCACGCCGCGCCCGGCAGACAGCCTGCTAATGTTCCAGTTCTTTGCCCCAATAGCTTGCTTTGCTTATGCACCCGGCAAACTGCTTCTCTTTTATGGCTTCCAGAGAGTGATGAAGTGAGAGCGAGAGAACGATGAGGGGAGAGCGAGAGAACGATGAGGGGAGAGCGAGAGCGAGAGAGCGACAGACGGAGAGAAGGAGAGGTGGACAGAGACCTGCAGAGAGACGAATAAAACAAATGACGATCAGCCCCGATGATGTGCCGTTGACTGGCTTCCAGACGCTGCTTCGGTTCGGAAGTATCGGCCACGGCGGGGAAAAATCTTCCTCGCGCAGGGAGAAACTCTGAGTCAAAATCGCGTTAAACCTCTTTCTCCGCGGGGTTCCTGCTTTAGAGCCTGCCCCTTCTGAACGACACCGCCGGCCCTTCACGACCGTACGTGAGGCGAGGTCGAGCACACGGAGAAGACGTGTCCCACCGTCGGAGCAGAGGAGCAGAGAGAGAAAGAGAGATATCGTCTTTCTTGCACTCATGGTTCGTTCGTTTCGTGAACCCCTAACCAGAGGTAAATGCAGACAGAACGCGTGCGCTTGAGGTTTGTTTGCACTGCACGACCGGCACGATGCTCCCCGGCCTCGCAGAGCTGTCAGCCGACGACGCGGCTGCTCCGAGGAAGATGATGAGGATGACGAGGGGGAGGAGTTGGAGGAGGAGGAGAGGGAGGTGGTTGCGGACCGACGCGCGACGCCACCACGACGTCTGCTCCCGGACAATGCCCCATCTCGTCTCGTTTCGCACCTCACCCTGCGCACCGCGCCGTGACGTGCGACGTGAACTTGAAAAACCTAGGAGGGCGCTGGAAGGCGTGGCGGGGCGTTGCCAGGGCGTGCCAGGGCGTGCCAGGGTGTGGCGGTCAGGCTTGGGGGGCGCGCGGGCGGCAGAGAGCAGACCAGGACAAATCCCACAGGGTCCAGGGTCGGTCTCGAGAGGGAAAGGTGGGGCAGTGGAGTGCGCAGGGGCCTCAGTGAAAGTTGGGGAGGGGGTCGGAGGAGGCAGGCAAGGGAAAAGGGGAGGAGGAGGAGGGAGGGGCAGAGGAGGAAGATGTGTGAGGGAGAGGGATGAATGAGAGTGGGGGGAGGGAGGAAGAGGTGGGAGGGGGCGGCTCGCTGGGTCCCTCCGGACGATTCGGTTGAGGCAGCCGCGCGCCTGGAGCAGATCACCTCAAGACGCGGACGGGGAAGGTGCTCCCGGGACTCCAGCGACAACCACCATGAAGATTTCCAGGTCAGCACTGTGTGTGTGTATGTGTGTGTTATGTGGATGCGAGGGTGTGAGCGTGAGCAAGAGCGACGCGAAAAGTGAATCGGCTGTGAGAATATCGACCCCACGGTCTCGTCACCTCTACGCCACTCTATAGTGCGACCCTGCCAACAACCCCTATAGATCACAAGATTCCGTCCCGGTATCCCCTGTGTGTTATAATTCCTAAGTGTGGTGGCACATCGGCGTCGTTCTTACTCTCTGGTTTCTGTACCGGCGGGCTTGCCTACTCACCTTCACCAAGGCGCCTACACGGCCCTGTGCGAGTGTGCAACCCGTCCGCACTACTGCATCCGGCACAGTACCTCACCAGAAGCAAGAAAGGCGCCGATGGTCCAATGGTCCACCCTGCGTACCTACATGTTTATCGTGCGGTTCAACGTACTGGTCAACAAGAGCTGATTCTTGCTGGCAGGGTAGTCTTCGCGGTGCAGGGCGGTTAGGGCGCACGGGTGTTACGACACGGGAGGGAACCGGTTGGGCCACCTACCTCACCGAGGTACCTCTCAGGGGCCCCGGGCCGGCCCGGGCCCTACGCACGACGCCCCGGCGGCCCAGTGACTCCCCTGCCGATACCGCCTATGTAAGTTCCTGGAGTTGGTTGCAGCATGCTGAAAAGGGGAGAGAGAGAGACAGAGAAAAGGTGCAAAATTTCTGCAACGCACTTCTTTCTTGTTATTGCCCCTTTGTTCTGCCGACGGCGAATACCGGGCAATGTCCGCTTGGGCTTGAGTCCGCTCGAGACCGTTCCAGCCCGCTCCAGCCTCTCCAGTCCGCTCCAGTCCTCTCCAGTCCACTCCAGCGGCCGGTGCGTCCTCCAGGGGGCCGTAAAACCTCCGAAACTCGTTAAAAAGGCAGCGGTAGCCGTGTCTTCCTCCCCGCATGCGGACTTTCTCGCGCGGATGACCGGCCGCTGGCCGGGCCGATCCACTTTGTTTATTAAAAATGGTTTTGCTCTCTATGACGGAGTTGTGCGAAGTGGGAGAGAAAAGACACAAGTGTGGCAGTGAGGCAGTAGGGCGGTGAGAAAACACACACACACACACACACATTCACACATACGCTCACTCACACAGGTTGAGAAACCTGCCGGCACCGCGGCCGGGTGTATCGTCGCGTGGATCGATGTGGTGTGTTTCACCTCGTATGGGATGCGAGAGAAAAAGCACGTGTAAACTGCCATGCAGTTGCAGGGCGGGGTGGCGGGGTAGGGTGGGGCCTGGCCTGCTCCTGCCTCGTCTCAACGCGCCGCGCCGCCACCTGTAAAAGAGAGAAGTCTTTTACTGTCCTCGCGAGTTGCCACCGCATGCAGGTTTCGTCGGACCCGGGTGCAAATTCTTTTTGAGAAACTGTACCGTGGGACCACCACACCACCCGCTACCGGCGCCGCGTGGAGGGCTCCGCTCCCGCCCCTGCCGAAGAGTGTCGGCAACGCAGGGTGCGCCATTGTCTTGGCGGTAACAAGACTGACCGAGAAATCACACTAACTTTATGTCCATGATTGCGCTATAAACCACACGACGTGCGTGTGTATGTGTCGTTTTTTTTTGCGGTTTCCTGTAAAAAGCAAACATGGACAGACAATCAGTTAGCAGACTATAGGAATAAGCGAGGGGGTTTTCACTTGCGTAATACAGTGTACACCAAAACTAGGTATTACGCGTAATGTAATACCGAAAAATAGGAAAATATGCCCTAAAATAGTAGAATTTGGGTTGCAAAGCTTGTGTAAAACTGGCGTAATACCGCGTAATACACGTAATATGTAATACACTGTACACGAAAATTCCGAGTAAAAACCCCCTCGGGAATAAGGCAAGCCAGGAGGGATACTTGCGACCTGAAACAATTTATTGAAGTTTGCCGAATCATCCCCGTCTAATCTCTTTAGATTGACTAATTATTAACAGATTCTAAATTTTTGTTCGTTACCTTATGTAACTATCGTTGTTATGCAGTACGTTCAGTCACATGATGCCTGCCGCTGCAAAGCAAACGGTGTGCGGGTTTATCTGGCGCTTCCTGTGCACACTTCCGTCTGATGGAGAGCGGGAGCGGCGTTAACGGACCCTTCTCGCAAAAGGGAACGGGTCGCACGATTAAAATGACCGTCGCTGCGACAAGTTTACCTCGCGCCGGTGGGTGCTGCTGTGGTGGGAGCGAACGACTTCTGCGCAAACAAACCGGCAGCAGACAACTAGCTCGCGCTGCCGCTACTACTCCTCGGCGGGTGCCGGCTTGCGGTGGCGGGCTGCGGTGTCGTTGTCTTGTGGTCGGGCGTCCCTCTAAACCCACGGCCCGGCACCCCGGCAGGCGTCGCGGGCGTCGCGGCGCCTGTTACCGGCTGCCCAGACGGACGTACGGGCACTGTGGTCGGTCGGATCAACAACACTCGAGCAGACCGCGTCCAGCAAAACTAGCAGCCTTTTTCTGCAACGCGCGGTGCCAAGTCTCTCACGTCCAGTGGGACGACTCGTTCCCGAGACACGAGAGCGTGTGTGCGACGGAGAGGGGCGGGAAAGAAGAAGAGATGCGGGGGGAAGAGTCTTGGTCAAGGTTGTTCAGCCACCGCTGCAGCGACTTTCCTTTTCCATCGGGTATGGCATTGTGTGTGTTCGTGTGTGTTGTTTGGTTCACGGGTGCAGGCGGAGAGAGGGAGGGGGAAGGGGGGGGGGGCTGCTCCCCATCAGCGGCAAACCATTCCAGTGCACATTTTTGAGTCAACGTGGTTTTGAAAAGAGTTTAGCAAAGGAATAGAGGTTCGGGCGGGAAAATTCTTGTGTGTGTGATAAGAGTATCGTATCATTCATAAATATGGTGAGGTAACATTTTCGAGCTGAAACCACTAACTTCGCGTTTTCGTACTAATCGAATAACCCGCTTGAGCTTCGCTGCCTGCGACTGCACAAGCGCACTATACGAGCAGGCGAGTCTTCTTCACGGGGAAGCACTTTCGTTTTCGCGCTCAAGTGCTGCTTTCTATCTAACCAATCAGCCTCCTCGGGGCGGACATGCTGGGCGGCTAATTCACGGGATAGCGCGCGCCAGCAGACTGAATCCGCCATCCTCGTAAGAGTGTGTGTGTGTGTGTGTGTGTGTGTGTGTGTGTGTGTGTGTGTGTGTGTGTGTGTGTGTG